TTCTTTCCTGGAAGATGATAAACTATGCAGCCATCAGACAACAGCATCAGTCTCTGGAAAACACAGGCATGTGCATATTTTACTTTAAAGTCAGTCTCTCTCTCTCTCTGTGGTGTGTGTGTGTGTGTGTGTGTGTGTGTGTGTGTGTGTGTGTGTGTGTGTGGTGTTGAACATCCATGAAGAGTGGTGGTCCTTAACAGAAAATCAAGTGTATGGATACTTTTACTCTGTAGGGCATGGAAAATTTGTATTTCCTGCATGGTAATACAAACTTCCTATTTCTCATTGCTTTTTCTATGAAGTCAGCAAACATCTTGTAACATATGTTGCTGTCCATCACCCACCATACAAAGAGCAGGCATCTTAATGTTTTACAGGTTTGGGTGTTTTAGAATTACCTCTACTGACATTTATCAGTTAAATAAGGGATAAATGGACCCAGTTTTGCCTAGGACAGAGAATATTGAACAAGGGTGTAAACCAGTCTTTGAATAATCTCTTCATGGGTAGTTGAAACATTGCTCAACCTCCCCTGTCCTCACCTGCTCTTGCTTGCTGAGTCCTGACTGTTCTTTCTGGACTCTGGCCTGGGTAGGCAGAGTCTTCTGATTCATCCATACACTTTAGTTTGGTGACTCTTTGCCCTTACAGGGCTCACCATTTCCCAATTAATTCTCCTGCTCTTGACTTGCCCGACCAAACATCTTCCTCCCAGAATCATTTGGTTTTAAACAACAGTTAGACCTCTCCCCTGGACCCCTCGGCTACCACTTCATAAAGCAGACTGCACATCTCATGTATTTGTAAGACTTCCAGTGAAAAATGCAAGGCTTTGGATCAGGGAGTTAAACCAAAGGCAGGAAGAAATTACTTGTTAAAGACAGCAATTGAACAGATTCACATTTGAATCCTGGCAATGCCTGGTGACCTTGAGCATATGATACTATTATTCCACAATTCAAATTCCTAGTACGGGAAATTACCTCTTAGTGTCTGCATAAGAAATAACTGGAGCCTGGGAGTGTTTGGCACATAGTAGGATTTAAGAAGTGTGCATCCCTGATATCAACTCTCACTATCACAGTTACCCTTCCCCTGGGTGTCCTCACTCCTTTTACCAGCAGATTTATTGGCACGATCTAAGATGTAGTTTATCGATAGCAATGGAAACATAATTTGAAAACCTGAAATACAGTTAATTACCTAGGTAATTCTTGGGTTGCCAGGACTATTTGCTCCCAGCAACTTACCTGCCTGAGGTTACTCTGTCCATATTGATCCCCACAAAATGCATGTGAAAAGAAATCAACTAATTCCATCAATATTTTGGCTTTGTATGTTCAAGAGAAAACCACAGACTTCTCTCTTCAGGATGTAGTGTTGCTGACCACTTTGGTTTGGTGTGAGAGAGTCAGAGTTACTAAACTTTGGTGGTGCATTTGAGTCATGTAGAGAGCTCTTAAAAACAAACAAACAAACATACATCTCTTGCCTGTACCTCAAGAGAATCTTTTTCCACGAGCCTAGAGTGGAGGATTTGTGTTTTTCTTTTTGGATGGAGTTTCGTGTAGCCCAAGCAGACTCCCCACTTCCTGTATAGCTGAAGAGGACTTTAAACTTCTGATCCTTCTTCCTCTTCCTCCAGAGCGCTACAAACACAGTGTGTACCATGTCTAGGATGCTTAGATATAGACCCAGAGCTTTCTGCAAGCTTCCAACTGAGACACCTCTTAGTCTGAGGATTTGCTTTCGAATAAGATCACCAGGGATTCTAATGTCTGTCCAGGGTTAGAAACTACAGATGTGGACTCTTTGACTTTCTATGTCTATGGCGCAATCATTCTGAACTTCAGAATATGGGAGAAGATCTAGAAAATTCTGTAAACAGCTTTGCTCAAAACAAGTTTGCTTCCCTTCTGCTTAACACATACATTTGTGACTACTCAGTACAGAAAAAATATTATCCAAATCAAGAGACACTTTCTGATAGAACCAACTGCACCCGATGCACAGGGCACAGTCACCTGATGTTTCCTGAGTTTGGAATCCTTCCGGGCATCAGGAAAATTATGTTTAAGATTTTAATCCTTCTATATATGACACTGTTTCTGTAATGGATTTTATGCATCTAAAATATTGACAGGTCTGGAAATAATAGATTTGTTAACAATTGGTTAAATAGTCAGAGTTAGCATGTAATTCTTTATTTTCCTTTCGTCTGGACTGGATGGAAATTTCTACCAAGCTTGAGATAGGAAAGAGTTACTGTTACATTTTATAAGCAAGGGTTATCTTTTATTCCATAGTGGGACTTTCCTTACTGAAAGTATTATAGATCCAACATAAAAAGGTGATGGTGAATTCAAAGAAGAAAATGACACAGTGCTAGGAAATTTGAGAAACGTCTTGAAAAATTTTTAATACTGTATTGTACCAAGTGCTTTTGGCATTTTGAAAATGAAGGTATTAGCTCTGGGGAAACGCTGAGAGAAAATACATTTTAAAGGTAAGTGTGTTTGTATGTATGTGTGTGTGCATGCACGTGTCATGGTGTGCTCATGGAGGTCAGGAGACAACTTTTGCGCTATGGTTCTCGCTTCCCACTTGGTCTAGGCAGGGCTTTCTTGATTCTGTTGTATGGTGTATTCTGAGACAGGTGGACGCTGAGGTTCCTCCCAACTCTCCTGCCCCTGCCTCCCATCTTGCATGGGAGTGCTAGAATTATAGGTGTGCACTACGGCATCAGGCTTCTTGTGTAGGCTTGGGGGATAAAACTCTAGCCATTAGGCTTGACAATTTCATAAACGTATATAATGAGCTCTGGACATTCTCACTTTTCACTCTCTCGACCCCTCTCACTGCTGTTAATCCCCTTTCCTCCATAGAGGTTCCTTCCCCATGTCCATGTCTTCTTGTTCTGCTTTGAGACTCACTGAACTTAAGCGGGGCCATCTGTCACAATGGGCTAGACTAGCCATTGGAGCCAGAGGGCTTTCTGGTGGCTACACAACCCAGGACAATGGCTCCCCCTTCACAGCACCCATCAACAGCCGTAAATCTCCAGGGAGGGGTAGGGCCCCCCAACCCCCACCCCATCCCTGACTGTCTGTCGACAGGCCCAGCCTTGTGCAGGCTCGGTGGGTGCAGGAAATCACAGCTGTGGTTAGGTTCATGACGGCCATGTTTGTATCATGCCCAGAAGATGGTGTTTTCAGTCCGTGATGATTATGTAATTCAGTGACAGGCATGCCCTTGATTATTTTAAGAAACAGGTCTGCCAATGGCCAGAATAGCTATTTTTAACACTGGGCTGACTTGTGGTTGAACTTAGGCTAATGGAGTTTGTTTCCATTTCAATTTAAGAGCGGGGATTGCAAACAAGGTCAAAGGCTGAGGGCTCCATGGTGGAGTGCATGCTTGGCATGGGTAAAGCTGGGGGTTCTGTTCTAGAACCCCAGACCGTTTGTGGTCAGGGTATGTAGCCTAGTGCTAGATGGTAGTTTCTTATATAGTGTGTGCAAAGTCCCAAGTTCACTCTCTAGTACTGAAAGTAAAAATAAAATCAAATACTTTGAAAGTGAATTTTAAGCCTATAATCAGGTTTACATTTTACTTAACCACCTGTACTTTATGTCAAAAGATAGGGATGATTTCAGTCTCTCTCCCTTGCTCCTCCCTTTCTCTGCGCATGTGTGCACATGTGTGCACATGTGCATGTATGTGTGTGTGAGAGAGAGGCGAGGCGAGGTGGTATGCTTCCACACACAGAGGCTGGAATCACTGGCAGGTACCATTCCCTGTCTTTCTCCAACTTATTTTCTGAAACAGTCTTTCTGGAGCCTGGAGTTCTCAGATTCAGACAGAATAGCAGGTTAGCACGTCTCAGGGATCGTCCCGTCTCTGCCTTTCCCTCTCCGGGATTATAGGTCCATGCTATCACACCCAGATTTCTGACATGGGTGTAGGGAATTTTACCTCAGGTCCTTGTATGAGGATGGAAAGTACTCTACCCACTGACCTATGCAGCTCTTTTATTTAATCTCCATAGTATCTACCCAAGGATTATACTAATATCAGAATGTAATAATGCACTAAATCATCAAAGCAGTTTGGCATTGATGAAATGGCCTAAGGGAGGTCACTGAGCAGAGAGGCGACATTCAGTGGTTATCACCATTCACACAGTAAGCTCATAGTTAGAACAGGCCAATGTCTTCCCAAGTTCCCTGATGCCATACAGAAAAAACACTCTAGGCCAGTGAGCCCACCCAGGATCCCTGTGGAAAGGAATGCCCAGAGTGGTTATACCCTCTGATTTGCCTCAGATATATATGCATGAGTGAAAAGACAGAGTTTTTAGACTTTTGAATTCCAAAAATACACTGCTTGGCTAGAGAGGCAGATAGATGTATCTACATATTTATATAGGTAGATATGCATGCATGTAAATGTACATACATGTAGAAATGCATATTATGATAATGTGAATGAGAAATGTCCCCATAGGCTCAAGTATTTGAATGCTTGGTCCCCAGAGGGTGGAGCTGCTTGGGGGAAGTTATGGAACCTTGAGGAGTTGGAGCCTTGCTAGAGGAAGTGTGACACTGGGGGTGGGCTTTGAGGGTTTATAGCCATATCCCACTTCTGGTTCACTCTCTGCTTGTGATCTCTCAGCTTCCTGCTCCAGCTGCCTGCTCTCATGTATTCCATTGGAACCATAATCTAAAACAAACTTTTCTAAGTTGTTTCTGTTTGTGGTGGTAATATTGCAGCACCAGAGGTATAACTAATATATATATGTAGACAATCACACACATGTAGACTTACATGTGTAGATGTGTTTTTTGACTGCTTCATTCATGTTTATCTGTGAGGAAGCTATGATTTACTGTGAAGGCACATTTTCAGCCTGTTTCCATTAAACTATGAGAGAGAGAGAGAGAGAGAGAGAGAGAGAGAGAGAGAGAGAGAGAGAGAGATTATTCCATTTTTTTCTTTACCTGGTGTTGGCCATGCTACAAATATGGAATCAGAGCCCAGTGTGGTGACATTACATGGGGGACGGACGTCTTCTGGGGTCCACACAGGCATCTGGACAACATAATCCTCGCTCACACTGCTGCCTCCTCCCGTTTTTGCTTCTAACTTGTAAACGTACCTGAAGACACAAAAGCTGTTATCAGCCAATCGCTAAGAGACTGGGACAATGTTTGCTGGCTTTCTAACCTGTTGTTTTGCCCTAAATTTGTGACGATATTTGAATTCTTTCCTATGAGAAATGTTATCATGAGCCTGGTCGTGGCGTCTAGCATTGACCATGCTGCTCTCTAGAGCTGTCTCCCAACTCCATGTTGAACCCTGTAGTCATTCATGGCTTCTCCGAAGAATTTCAAGAACATCTTGGGGTGTGCTACTGGGCTGTGAAAATTCAATTTAGTCTTTTCCATGTCTAAATGGTTTGAATTTCAGGGAGATTCGTTTAGAAGCAGAGATATTTAAATTGATCTGTTATCTTCCACAATAAAACTAAATTATTCTCTATTCTCTGCACTGAAACATCTGTTGATGTAGGGTTTATCTTGTGTCTGCTGAGAAATGAATGGGAATGAATTGCAAATGGGTGGCTAAGATGACTCCTGGAGACAGAGCATTGCAGGGTAGTGAGTGGAGGGGAGATAAGAAGTGGTAGGTGATGGCAACACGATCCTCCCAATCTCTTTAGTTGCTAACTTTGGAACATAAGTTTTAAATACCATTGGATAACTTTTGAAGTTGGACATTGTATTTTATGTATTTAAATTTCTCATGACTTTTTTGTCAAATAGAGGACGAATTATCTGTATGTTAAAAGGATTTCATGTAGGCTGAAAACTAACAACTATTTAGCACTTTTATCTGTGACAGCATGGCTAATGAATAAGGAGATTAATTCAATAATTGAATAACGTTTTAACGGGAGGTATTCTTTCTCAGCCTTGAACAACTTAGAAAGCTTACAGTGTGGTTGGCCAAGTTTCCCTCTGTCACCTGCTGTTGGGTTCCAGGTTTTTATCAGTGAAATTCTGTTCATCACTGCCGCCCACGAGAAGCAAGCTTCCATTACGCCTCAGCTGATATTGAGAAATGAGGCCGTTGGGCTTTTCTGGAGGATTCCAATATAATTCCACGGTTGTAGAATTGATGATGATGTGTCGAGGTGTCACCCAAACTCCTGGCAGAAATGACACAGTGAGGTTTTATTGTGAGGATAAAATATATGCCTTGTGAAATGGGACAGCTCCCTCCACAAGCCAGCTAGCCTTTCCTTATCTGTGGGTGAAAGCAGTCTCACTGAGGAAGAGACAAACATGCACTGCCTTTGTTTGGAGATGAAACAAGTCACCAAGCCTGGATTTGCTTTCCCTCTGGCTTTTCTTTTGAATGCCACACCACTAGCCGTGGGAAGTTTCTGAGGCTTGGCCTTTGTTCTGGCTGTAATTTAATGGAGGAAAGCTAGAAGAAAATGTGGGCATTTGAAACTGACACTCTTCGCTTGGGTTGTGTGGAAGGAAGCACAATCAGGCATTTACCGGAATTATCCAGTTCAGTCAGTTAGAATTTCTACTTCCCTCTTGTACCAGGGGCTATGCATGTCCTTTTTTTTTTTTTTTTTTTTTTTTTTTTTTTTTTTTAATACTTTCTGGCCTGACTTCCTGGTTTCTCAAGATTCTTCAACTGTCTCTTAAAGCATTGGAGTGTCTTAGAGCCCCAGGATCTCTCCTCCTGCATTCTTCTCCTGTCCCACCTCCACATCCTTTTCCCTCCCAAACTCCTTGACGATCTCCCTTGCTCACCTATGCTGAAGGCTCCCCAAGGCATATTTTATACCAATTGTCCCGTGGGCTTCAGACTTATGAATCCAACCCTTCATGTGACACTGTCATTTAGCTATCTATTTACAGTCAAAAGCTCAAAGCATCAACATTGGGACTCTTGATGTTCCTGCTACAGGATATGTAGCTCCAAGCTTGCCCACAGATTAATTTTCTCGGGCAAAACACACAAACAGAATTCTCCTAACGTATCCCAACCCCTTTACTCCTGTCCCTGCGCTCTGCAGACCCGACAAAGTTCTCGTCATCACTGCCGTCTCTCAGGCCACAGCCTTTCATGAACTTCTGTACTCGCATCTTGTCTTTTGTCATTCTGGGGACTGAGCCCAGGGTCGGCCATGCTGGGCACCTGCACTACTCTGGAGCTGCACCCTTAACCACATCACAGCCTTTAAGCTTTGCAGTCTCCGTGCCTTGGATTCACTGTGCAGCTAGAGAGCAGCCTTGAGCTCCTCCTCCCCAGTGCTGGATTACAGGGGTGTGCTGCTGCTTTTGGGCTAGCTCTGCTGTTAGTCTCGGCTTTCTCTACACCTCTGGAATCTTCTCAGCACTCTCTGCTTATTTCATATGTATTAGGAAATACATGACTCTTATTTTTTTATTATAAATATTTTTATTTTATAATTAATTTAATTTTACATATCAACCACAGATTCCCCCGTCCTCCCTCCTCCCACCCCCCAGCCCTCCCCCTCAACCAACCCCCACACTCTCACTTCCTCCAAGGCAAGGTCTCCCCTGGGGAGTCAGCCCAGCCTGGTAGATTCAGTTGAGGCAGGTCCAGTCCCCTCCTCCCTGCACCAAGGCTGAGCAATGTCCCAGCATAGGCCCCAGGTTCCAGAAAGCCAGGGCTCTTATTTTTTTATATCATTCCCTTCATACCATGGCTTCTGTGGTCACTATTTCTTGTCATGGTCTCTATTTCTCTACCCCTAGCCTCCCTAGCACCATAGTGGCCCTCATTTATGGTCCTCTGGCCACAACCTTTCTATCTCCAAATGCTTCAAGCTCAGGTCTTCTCTGTCACTAGGATTCACACTGCCCCTGGATGGTACCTGCTTCAGATGCCATAGGTTTTGCATCTGATTTGCTCAGTCCTCTGTGTAGATTTCTCTGTCCCTGCAGCTTGCTTGACATTTACTGTCTTATTCTAGCTTCTTCCAGCACACATACCTTTTTATTTCCCTCATAACCCTTATGACACCATGATCATCTTTTCTTTGATGTGTTACTTTTCTTACTTTGTTATGACTGGATGGTCCATCCACCCTTTTGCCTGCTTTAATGCAAAATTATTTCGACTGAGGCAGGGGTCTTCAGTCTTATTTGTCAACATGTATCTATGAATAGCAAACTAATATGGGCAACATATCTCCTGAAGATATTACATTAGGCAGTCTAGACAGTTACAGAGAGTACAGTTGATCATGATAAGATTCATTGTTTCATGAAAGGATAAAATATGTACAGAAATAGCAACAGTTTAAAGTCTGTCCTTAACTATTCTTTTAAAAATAATGTTTTTGGATTTATGTACTTTTAATTTTATGTGAGTGTGTTTTGTATATATGCATGTGTATCATATACGCAGTACCCAAAGAGGGCAGGAGCAGGCACTGATTCCCTTGGAACTGGAGATACAGATGACTGTGAGGCACCATGTAGATGCTGGGAACTGACCTCAGATCCTTTTTGCAAAGAACAGCCAGTGTTCTTAGTCACTGATCCATCTCTCCAGCCCCTGAGGTGCTCACAGATGTGGAGAACCTGACGGTAGAATGGTGAGTCTCCTGAAGGTGGCTGTGCTCTACACAGACCTCATGCCTTCTCTAAGGGGCTTTCACAATGCCCCTTCTATTAGGCTCCCTACAGTCAACAGCTTCTGACTGAGCATGTCTGCCATGCAAGCTACTCTGTAAAAAGTAAGTCTCTGACATTTTTAAAGAAAAAAAATGCTCAGGACATTCAAATACAATTTATTCAGCAGCACACTGAAGAAAGGAAACAGTCTAGATAGATTTCAAAGGGCCTCAAGCGTATGGGCATTCAAAAGAGCAACTGATTTCTGAGAAGAAAGCTGTCCATCTTGTTATCCCTCAATGCTAGACAGAGCACACACTGAGGCCTAGGTTTCTCTGCTGACAGCTTCAAACAATCATTTAGAGTTCAGACTTCAACAGCACATGGACTTGTTGATGCAGGAGATGAAGCACCAAGGTTTAATCGGCTTCTTTGGAGCTCATCTCTCTGTCCTTGAGGGATATATTAGAATTCACCAAGGAAGACTGAGGAGATATACAGTGGGTGGGATACTTGCCACACAAATGTGAGGGCCAGTGTTTGAATCCTCAGTGCCCACATAAAGGCTGATGGAGCAGCCTCCCTGAAACCTTATTTTTCAGGGCAGTCATAAGAGATCTTTAGAGAAAGCTAGCTGACTACAGGAGCCAAATCTGCAAGCTCTGGGTTCAAGTGAGAGACACTGACTGGATCTATAAGGTGGAGAGTGACTGGTAAGACATCTGGTACCAATGTCTTGCCTCTACATACATGCATGCATTCATGTGTTTACATGGGTGTGTGAATGCACACACACACACACACACACACACACACACACACACACACACACACACCACATATGCATGTGTGCTCGTGCATACATGAATGCCACACACATATACACATACAAAAAATTTGCCAAAGAACCAAAACAGCCATAGCTTAGTTTCCAGCATACATTCTTCAAGGTAGCCTATGCATATGTAGGTTCTAATGAAATAAAAGTAACTCAAATTTTGGAGTTGTTTCATGTTTTCAAGTCAAGTTTTTCATGTGTTCAGCTCCATGGAAGCTGGCTAAAATTCAATTGGAAAGATGCAGTTTCAATGTGCAAATAGCAAATAGTAAATGCTATATATTTACCTGCAGGGTGGGCTTGGGCTGTTGTTACCTTAACCCTTCAAGGCATAGTCGACAGAGTGAAGACCCACTTGAGTGAGTGCCAGGTGTGAATTTGCCCCCTTTTCCCTCCCACTCTCTAACTGCAGCTTTAGCACCAGAAAACTGATCCTATTCTGTGTAATAGAGGGCAGATCTGAGGCAATTCAAGGGAGGAATGGACAGAAGGAAGAGAACTGACCTCTGGTGCCAGGCTAGGGCTAACCAGGTGGGAAGTTTGGGGGCCAAAGTCAGTAGGTAGACTATAGTAGCTGCTTTGACACAATGACTACTAGAAATAAATGCTGCTACTGAGTGTACTTTAAATTGATCTTAAGTATTGTGTACTATTACCCACTTCTAAAGTTCCTTCAAACATCCATTAGCTAAAATTCCCAATGTTTATTGTGAATTGGCTTCTTAAACTCTGTTGATGAAAGCCAGTTCTGAATGAATTCATCACAGCAAGGATGCACTGGTTTGCATAGTTAAATGCTATTGTCTAGTTTACTCATTCAAGCTTCCACATGACTTGGCATCCCTTTCTGTTAGGTACTGTGGGTATGGGGAAAAAATGTACTCCTGACTCTTCCAGTTCATTGTGTCATGGTAAGTAAAGACTTGTAAGTACAAATACTATAATTTAGTGTGATTGGTGGTTAAAGAGAAGCATGGGGCAGGGAGAGACCCAGGAAAGGAGCCTTGGCACAGACTGTGGGATGAGATCAGGAGAGGTAGGAAGGAGGTAGTCCTAGGGGTAAACTGATGTAAGAGGAGCCACATGAGCTGTGGTGGACAGAAGTTAGCTGTTGGATGGTACAGGGGCAGCAGTAAAGATTGTGGCAACCTACAAAGAGTCTTACAGAAACGGAGAAGTGTTAAGGATGGCAAACACTAAAATAGGACCCCATTTCATGGCATGCGGTCAAGACCACCAGATTAGCAGAGGGGAAGCTGGAGGAATCTATTTGCTATATAAATGTGATAAGGGTTTGTTTCCCCGGAAGGAAATTAGATTTTAGGGAGCTGACTAGCAGGAGAGATACTCTTTTTGACATGCGGGAAGAATCAGGAGGGGACTATGAGAAAACTGAAAACTGGCTTTGGAAAGGAACCTAGTTAGGAGAAGCTGGAGAAATGAGAAGGATGTGAACAAAGGTAGAGGGGGAAGGGATGAAAAAGAAGGACGAACTGAAAAATTAAGATTTACAATCAGTAAGATTTATGAAGAGTGACATAGTATGTATAAAGATGGAAGTTTAAGCACAGTAGGTGTGGGACTGAGGTGATGGACATTGGTACCTAAGAGAACAGGAGGAAAGGCAAGGCGGGGCAAGGGGTAGGGTGAGAGAGAACTGAGCATTGAAGATGGAGGTCTAACATGGTGGCTGCACAGATCTTCTGTCCACGAGTACATCCCGGTGAGAGCTTAGCCTTTGGCAGCACTCAGTCTTTAAAAGAAGGTAGAGACAGTACTCTAGATCCAGAGTTATGTGAACTGAGTAAAGGAAGGGTCTAGAGGGGCATCAGTAAGCCAGGTACAGGAAAGAGGAACTGGAGGAGCTCAAGGTGGACCATGTCCAATTTGCCTTTTCTTTTCCCCAATGTTGATGTTAAGCTGGGATATAGTTTTGCATGATTTCACCCTAAAATGAGTTGATCTTACTGGGCCAGCAGTTGTTCTGAGAAAATAGGGTTATAACCCAACCTGGGCTCTTCCCACTACTTGATAAAGAGCCACAATTTCCGACGGGGATAAAACTATAGAGAAGTGTGTCCAGGTTTTCCTGAGGCCACACTGTGTATTACCACTTTCTGTTTAGATGTAAAGCAGAACAGGAGGGAAAGAACACAGGCTTCTTTGAATTTTTTCCATATGCACTCATCACTCTCAAATCTTAGACCTGCAAACTGTGTCTGATTTACTGCAAAAGTGGCATTACATAATTGACTGTGCTTGGGTTAGTAATTTAAAAGTTTATTTTTTATTAAATTATGAATACCTGTGCATGTGTGTGTGCACATGCACTAACAGGTACTTTTGGAGGAGGCCAGAGATATCAGATCCTCTGGAGCTAGAATTACAAATGATTGTGCCTCATGTGTGTGCTAGGAACTGAACTCAAGCCCTTTGGAAGAGTAGTAAATGCTCTTAATCACTGAGCCATCTCTCCAGCCCAAGTTAGGAAATTAAAAGGGTAAGTTTGTTTCTACTTTGTAATAGTGCTTAATGTCATTGATGATTGGTCCCTTTGCAGCCTCCAAGCCAAACATTGGGACTATATTCCTTTGTAGCCTCAAGCCAACATTGGGACTGTATTGATTCCTGGCACAGGTTATCCATGAATGCACATACACAGCCAGAGAATGGATCTAAAGCTACGTTGCTTCCCAGAGGAAAACCTTATTTCTTTGCATAGTTATTTCTGGCAAGGGAACATTGCATAATGTTAAAAAAAAGAGGACATTTCTTACAACACATTCCCGTGTATCATTTAAAGTTACATTTTTCAAGGCATAAGATCTAGACCCTTTCAAAAATTTTATAAGAGGAAGTGGGAAAACAGATACATTTAGAAAATAACTTAAGAATGTGGGTTTGGTAGATGAACCAATACCAGAGACCCCCTACTTTATCAGGCTTGAGTTTTAGCCAAAACAGGTTGGTAACATCTTTAGAGATCACCCATTATCATCAGAGTATCCATTTGATGGTTTACCTTTCCAAAAAATCCACTGCTGCTTCCTTCCTTTCATAGGAACACCAAGCTCTCTGACATGAAGCATTCTTTATATAGAGAACATCATTAGTGAACTCCTAGCGAGGAGCCATATGCCCCATATGTGGAATTTTCCATTTTATTCCCCATTTGCCGGTAGGAAGTTTAGATCTAATATTCCAAGGTACAACAGTCCTTTCAGTAGAAAAGTAATGAACAAGTGGTTTGGGACTCTATCATGGCAACAGACACCATGATCCTCTTTAGATACTTATATATGTATGCTTTGATTTCTCCATATGCAAAACAGGCCAATAAGAAAGGTTAACAAATAGTGGATCCCTACAATAGGCTACTGAGCATGTTTTTCTTCCATAAAGAAAAGGGCATCACACACCCCAGGTCCCAACCCTCAGGGGCTCATTGTCATCACAGGGTTGCTAATTCCAGATTTTTTTCTACGTGTATTGTATATTTATGACTAGAAATGAGTGGAGTCATCTGCCACCATTTTCACGCATAAAGCGGTTACCATAGCTCTCCAGCATCCTTATAGGAACAGCTCACTTTATTCCTACAATGTGATTTCATTTAGCAATTCTCCTTCTCAACAATATTTAAATTGTTCTCCACATTTGGCATTAAGCAAAATGATGCTGCCACAGGCATCCTGACACAGGTCCCCTTCTGGGCATGTGGATGAGTTTCAGGCATAAATAATGAAAACTTAACTGCTGTGTTAAGGAATTAAGATTTTGAATTTAATAGACAATACCAATTTGTCTTCTAAAGAGGGGGGAATCTCTCTGTACATTTCTTCAAACAGCCTGGTGGGATATCTCATCCAGTGTGTGTGTGTGTGTGTGTGTGTGTGTGTGTGTGTGTGTGTGTGTGTGTGTGTGTGTGTGTTAAAATCCCTGTTTCTTGGGGTCCACCATAGCCTATCTGTACCATAAAATCTTCATGTCTGTGATAATTGTTAATATCTCCTTCAGTATATTCTTTGCATATACACCTAGTAATTATATTACTATCATTCTGATTTGGTTTGAATTTTTTGAAGGCAGAGGCTGATTTCATTGGCTTCAGCTACTTACTTACTGTTAAAAGGTTTAATGATTAAGATTTTGAGGAGCTTCATATCCAGGTATGTATTTTTTCCCCATAAAAAAGCAAATCTCAAGGACTTAAAGAACTTGAAGTAATTTACTGTGAGTGGCAGTGTATGGCTTACTCCAGCCTGTAGGAGGAGGAGACACAGGATATTATTTTATTTTATTCTGTCGACTTTATTCTTCCTGCCGTGTTTTCTACAAAAAGCTTATAAAGTGAATTAAAACAGCACATTCAAACATTTTCTCCAAACCACAGATTTGTCCTGGTTACCTTGAGGGGCAGCCTGCAGGGTCTGACCTACAGAGGGCTCACTGGAAGTGCATCCGGCAGATGTACAAGCTGCAAGTGTGAAGCTGTAGGTTGTGTATGGCTGAAGACCTAGAAGAGCCAACAGAAAAGAAAGCACAGCTTGAGAGGGTTATTCATTAACAATTGAACACCGGAAGTTACATGCAGATTTGTAGATGTGCTCTGCAAGGCAGGAACCTGTAGCCTCACATGGGTCAGACTGGAACCCACAGTCCCACATAGGCCAGGGAGGAACCCATAGCCTCACACAGGCCAGAATGGAACCCACAGTCACATACAGGCCAGAATGGAACCCTCAGTCCCACATTGGCCAGGCAGGAACCCAGAACTTCACACAGGTCACAGCCCTACACAGGCCAAGCAAGTCAATCATCCCGGCTTTCTGAAGGCTTAAACTTCCTGAACAGTTATGCTGATCAAAAGTTTCTGAATGCTCAGCCATCAGAGATACTTCAAAATTTATGATTAATAAATTCATCCTTCTCAGATCCCCCCTACAAGATGTCATTAAAACTGTCTCACTTTTTGCACCAGAACATTTACATCCCGAATAGCTGGTTCCATCTTGAAGAGCACCAGGGTTCCTCCTCATTTAGTTTCAAAGTCCTTCCTTATATTGTGGTGAGACACTCCTGTTGCTTCCCCCCTTGGGGACCCATAGAACCAATCTAATTTCCTTTCCACATTACTCGTTCTTTAAATATTTGTAGACAGTTACCAAATCCCTCTGAGTCTTCCCTTCTCTAGACTAACCACCCCAGCTCCCGTGTCTGCCCCTCACGTGAAGAGGGGCAGAAAACACGTGAAAGGAAGGTTGATGCATCTTGTCTAGCCTCAAGCTATATTCAGTTCTTATTAACACCAGCTTACACTTTTAAGAAAAACAAACAAACAAACAAAAACCCGCTGCACGTTTTCCCCAGGTGTATTCGTGGGGCACATTGCTCTTCTGCTGGATGAACTGCTTTTGTCTTTACACACAGATTGAGGAGATTTCAATGAGGGCGTAGCCCTTATTTACTTCCACTACATTTATAAAAGAACACGGCTCAGTAGTTCCCCAGCAAGGCCTCAGAGGGAACAAAGAATGGCTTGATCTATTTATGACAGAAGTTGTCCATGGTTATATGTCACTGCTCTGTGGCTGATGACCTTGGCCAAGTTACCTAGCTTCTCTTTGCCTTGGTCTACTGATCTGTAAAATGGGGAATCACTATAGCATGTAGCTTATATGAGAAGATGAAATGGGATGCCAGGTAGTATTTTATATCAGCAGGGGTAACATTAAGGCTCTGCAGCACTCAACAAGAAGTATATTGAGGCTTACAAGGTCTTTCTTCGATTCTTGAGAAAATTCAAACAATACCAAAGCGTTCTTAAAAAAAAATTAGGAGAATAGTGCTTTGTCAACGGTCAGATCGCAGGCTGATTTATGGCGCCTACTCTATGGTTAGTATGTGTGCTTTCCACACACTTCCAGCTGCATTCTTATACATTTTATACCTGGGAGCATGATTCTTCCTGCAGATTTGTTCCCACCTTATCCCGTCACTTCATGTAGATTGCTCGAGTTCTATATTTTTTCTTTACAGATTTCCACTACTCTAAATAATATACCAGTCCCTTTTATCTCCTGAAATAATTCTTTCCTTGCACAGCCTTCTGTATCTTTGATGCTCTAGGCGTCTTTTTCTTGCCTTTCTTGCTATGGCACAATTGCCAAAAGAGCCAGGACCCCACTTCACCTGTGAGTATATCCTGCCAATAGTGATGGCACACAGTAGGTGCTTGCTAAATGAATGGAGGAGTCAGTCCTCAGATTCGCTCAGGGTTGGAGTGCTGGTTTGGGTTCTCCGAGGAAGCACTGGCCTGAGGAAGCCGGATCTGCTTGACATCCAGCCTCTGGGCCTTTTGTGTCTCCTTATGGACCTAGTGATAAGATCCAGGTACTTATTTGATTATAATCTTCCATTTGGTTGCTAGGGAGGATTTACATAATTTTGATATTTACCTGATTTTTAGATGAGGAATATGACTAAAGATCTAAGCCATCCCCAAATCATATAGCTTTGATAAAAGCTTACAGGAAGATGCTAAGCTAATAAAACATAAGAACTCAGAGAAAATGGAAAGGGACATCCAAGAGTGAAAGCCAGAGGTCGCAAGGGCAAGCTGGTTCAGCCATGCAGTGCCAGCCTTTCTACCCCACTTCTGAAACATTGTTTCAACTGTACCACTGTCTTTCCTTGTTAGAATGCTCTGCAAACAGAGAGGGCATCTTTGGATGGCTTCTGCGCTCCACCCCACCATGCCTGTCTTATGAGTTCAGTGATAACTTTATGTTAGCTTAGAGAACAGCTCCGTGAACAAACATGGCCAGGGTAAGGGCTATGAGATGTGATGTCCGTCACAAGTATGACCCCACCAAACAGGACCCTTCTCATGGTTCCACAAGCATTTCTGCCTGCAGCATCTACTTTGCTTTTTTTTTTTTTTTAATTTTTGATATTCTCCTTGTTTTGTAAAGTGTTAAATAATAATGATATCAATGTAATTTGTGAGTAGTAAAGTTTTCTTTTTCTTTCTTTTTTTTTTTTTTAGGTGCAAGTGTGGAAGGACGCAGATGGAACAGGTAGGGCTGAGGGAAGGATAGGAAGTTCCATGCACTTCTGTTCTTCCAGTTCTAGTCACAGCCCCCACAGTAAACGGCTCACAACTGCCTGCAACTCCAGCTCCAAGGGCATCGGAGATCTCTGGCCTCCCTGGGCACCTCCATGCAAGCACACAGATACACACATTTAAAAATCAAATAAATCTTTTTTAAAAAGTCAAGAGGCATTTGTTGGCATGTTTATCTTTCAAGAGTGTTTTCCCAGAAAAATCTCAAAAAGAAAAAAGTGATAGCCCCATCCTCTTTGACCTCTTGTGTTCTGGCTCTTCTGGTTCCCTGTGAGCAGCAGGTGCTAAAGACAAGTTTAGGATGGCTATTAGAAGAGGAAACACATCATCAGAGAGGTACACCACATTTGATGAGATGAACAGGACATTTGTAACATGGAGGTTAGGGGGAATCCCATGGCTATGGACAAGAAACTGACATGTCTTTCTGATACAGCAAGTCCACAAAATGGCCCCATGAATCAATGTTATTAATAAATGGTTCTGGGGAAACTGGGGTACTCGGAATATTGAAACCTGACTCCAGCATCTTACCCTGGAGACAAATCAATGCCAAATAGACTGTCCTCGTTGGCTTCCTGCTTCTGTGATGACCAGAAATTACTCAGGGCCGAAAGGGTTTATCATGTCTTACAGGTTAGAGTTTACCATTAGAAGAGGCCTGGGAAGGACCTCAGCAGGAGCCTGGAGGCAGGAACTGCAGCAGAGGCCATGGGGGAACGCTGCTCTCTTGCTTGCTCCCTGTAGCTCACTCAACTACCTTTCTTACACAGCCCAGGGGCAACCTGTCCAGAGTAGGCTCCACCCACAGAAGTCTGAGATTTCCAATACTCCCATCAATCAGCAATCAAGAAAAAACTCCAGAGACAAGACCACAAGCCAATCTGATGGAGGCAGTTCCTCAATTGACAGTCCCTCCTCTCGGGTGTGTCTAAGCTTGTGTTGAGTTCACAAAATCTACGACGTGGATCAAAGATCTAAAATGTGAGACCCCAAACTCAGAAGCTCCTAGAGGAAAACACAGGGAAACGCTTCAGCATGTTGGTGTGGATGACGATGCTCTGGCTATAGCCCCAAAGCACAGGGACCAAAAGCCATCGTGGGCAGACAGAGCCTCGGGCCTCGTTCGACTGAAAAGCTTCCACACAGCCCAGAAAGCAGTCAGGAACGTGAAGAGAACGCTCAGGTGGGAGAAAACACCTGCTAACCCTTCATCTCATGAGGGCTCACTCTCCAGAGCATATGAGGAGCTAAACATAAACAATGAAAACTAAGCAATCCAATTAAACTGGGCAAATGATTTAAGTGGAAACAATTCCAAAGAAATACAAATGGCCAACTGGAAGAATGCTCAGCATCATTATCTATCATGGACATACAAATCAAAAGAGTTAGAGCATACTACTCTAGTCAGAATGGTTATTATAAGAAATGACCCAGCACTCGGGAGGCAGAGCCAGGCGGATCTCTGTGAGTTCGAGGCCAGCCTGGACTACCAAGTGAGTCCCAGGAAAGGCGCAAAACTACACAGAGAAACCCTGTCTCGAAAAACCAAAAAAAAAAAAAAAAAAAAAAAAAAAAAAAGAAATGAGAAAATAGAAAATACTGGTGAGATGTAGAGACAAAGGAATGTCCATATGCTGATGTTAGGAATGTACATAATTGCTTTCACTATGGAGAAAACAGACTGATCAATCATATGATCCAACTATCCCATAACTGGGTATACACATGCCAAACACACACACACACACACACACACACACACACACACACACACACACACGTACACACACACACACAGAGAGAGAGAGAGAGAGAGAGAGAGAGAGAGAGAGAGAGAGAGAGAGAGAGAGAGAAAGGATAAAGGATAAAGGATAAATTCAGTATGTGGAAGATCCATCTGTGTTTGGGTATTTATTGTAGTCTTTAAAGTAGTCAAGTCATGGAATCAATTTATATGCCCATCAGTGAGTGAATGGATAAAGGAAATATGTTTACCTAATACAATGGAATGTTACTCAGTCATGAAGAAGAAGAATACCCTGGTATTTGAAACCAAAATAGATGGAACTAGAAAACATCATGTTATGTGAAATAAGCCAGGTATAGGAATACTGCATGTTACTTTTCACACATGTAAATAATAAACCAGTTTCCTAGCTATAAAATAGTCATTATTTGAAGTTGAAATGTAGTGGGAGTGGATAAAAGAGGACAGATACAGTCATTGCACACTATAGGCAAGGACTGAAATATCACACTAGGCATCATTATTGTATAAATAATTACACGTTAAAATAAAACAAAATAAAATAATAGCACTAAGATTTGGTACACATAAAAAGGGTCTTGTGATATTTGTAGATTTTCAAGATTTATTATTATTA